TTTTTTATTTATTTTGGTTTTTCTTAAACTTATTTTTTAAAAAATAATATTTTTCGTTTAAAAAAATTACAATATTCTTACTAGAAAAAATTTTGGAAATTTTCTGAAATTTTTTTAAAATTTTTGTTATATTTATTAAAAACATAATAATTAAAGTTTCGTTTCAAAAACTGACATAAGCTATACTTTTACTTTTAAATAATTTTTGAAACTTTTTGATTTTGTTTTAAATTTTTCATTTTTGTTTAATATTTTTTTATGCAATTTATTTTCGAAAAACAATTTTTTATTTAAAAAAACTGGCATTAGCTTAAATTTTATTTTTGAATATTCTTCAAATTTTCTGAAAAGTTAATAATTTTTTATCTGCTTTTATATTGTCTTATATTTATTTTCTAAAAATAATTTTGTTTTCTATTTCAAAAAATGACATTAGCATAATTTTTGCATTTAAATATATTTTTAAAACCTCTTTCTGAAACCCTTTTTTTTTTTAATTGGTAAAATAATTTGCTAAAAAACAATTAGTTTTGTTTCGAAAAATGGTATAAGCTTATAAATATGTTTTCAAATTTCTAAAAACTTTTTTTTTTAATTTTTTCTTAATTAATTTTTTGTAAAAAAAATTTTTTTTGTTTGTTTCAAAAATTGAATTTTTTTTTAAACTTCTCAATTTTGTTTTTGAAAAACAAAAATATGTGTGCAAATTTTCTAAAACTTTTTTTTTTAATCTTTTCTCATATTAATTTTCTGTAAAATATTTTTTTTGTTTCAAAATTAAATTTTTAAAATAATTTCTCAATTTTGTTTTTGATAAGAAAAGAACTTGTTTTTCAACACAAAAACAATTTTTGGCTTTTCCACTTTTGTTTTCAAATAGATTTTTTATCACCTAAATTGAAATATTCAAAATTCAGTATATTTTTCTATAAACCACTTATTTGACATTACAGGCTTTTTCTTTGAATTCCTTAAGTTTGATCTATCAAAGCTCTTTTAAATTTTTTAATCAAGTTTTCGCAATATAGTCGCTTGAACGACGAATTTGCATAGCTAATTGGTTGGAAATTTTATTAAAATAATTCTTTTTTACACCTAGAGGCGAAAAAAGACAAAATCGAGTTAAGTAATTTTACTAAATTTCCATAAGATTATACAGCATATATGAAATATAATATTTGAATCGATAAAATGTCATTACTTAGCTACTGAACTAGACTAATTTAATATTTCTAAACATTTCTATATATCATATTTGCATATGTATGTATATATATTATTATATACGTGCCTTCAAGCAGCTACTACGCTTCAAGGACCATCAAAGCCATATAAATTATACTTCAGCTTTCACAAAAAGCTAAAAATTCAAAATCAATTGCTGCCATAGTACACATATCTATATGTTTAATATGTATATTTTCTCATGCTCGTACATACACAACTATACATATACTACAATGTATGCGATTGCAAGACATTTCAACTGTAAATATTATACAAATGTTGTCGTGCAAACTTCAATAACAATTAAAGGCTTAATTAAAAGTTGAAAATATTGTCGGAAAAAGCAAAAAATATGAATATTGAAATACATTGAAGTATATACTCACATGCATACACATATGTATGTATGAGTTTTGAGTTTGCACAGATACACTGTATATATATATTTTCACTTAGAAACATTTAAGTGTTCGAGACATATTCACTCTCATATAAATTTTATATAAACTTTGCTTTTGCTGTTCAAGTCTACAACAGAATTATTGCTGCCATTTGCTGTGCTATTTATCGTCTTTCTTGTTACCCCCTTTTTCCGAAAGCATAGCGCGTAATTGCATTTAATTGAATACCTTGCAGTGTTTAATAAATAAATTGCTGACAGACCGCCCAGCTTTTTTATTGTACATACATACATATGTAGATATGGTATATGTTAGCATGGCGATATGTTTTCATATATATATAATAGATATATATTTCTAATTTATTGCGGAAATGTGGCAAATATTCTAATAAGAACTTAGCAATGACCAAGTTTTGCTGAGGTACAAAGTTAGTTGGCACTTCATGACCAATATATTATATTGCAGCCAACGTCTTGGCATTTGTAACTAGTTATTAATTTCTAAAAAATCGTTGCTATTCAATTTTACTAAAATAATATTTTTTTTCTAATTTTTTAAAATTAAAATAATATTTTATATATAAAACTTCAAATATTTCGATTAAATTCTCATTTAAGTCGTTTTTATGAAACTCGTTTTAAGTATTTCTAAAGAGATTCCACAGTTTTTGCGTGCAGAACTAGAAACTCAAGAAGAATTCTCTATATTTTCGGCGCACCGTTCCACTAGCAATACTTATTTTTTATTTCTAGAACTAACTTTACGCCTGTATTTTTTTTAAACTTTTTAAGAACCGAGATAATTTGCAAAAAGACCTAAGCATTGATCTAGTCTTTAAAACCTACCTGAATTTAGGCCAATTTTTGGAGGCTTATTTGAAATGGAAAAAATAAATGACTGGTAATGAAACTCAGCATATTTATTAAGTACATATTAAAATATGAAAATCCAATTTAAAAAAAAAAATTTTTTTTCAAAATGGTCGCCGTGGCAATCGATCTCTTGAGGCTCTCGCGGCAAAAGGCATCAATTGACGGAATTTTTAGCTAAAGTTTCAGCTACCTGAAATAAATAAAAAAATGTTGAATCTTGTTCATGAAACATGTATCTTCTAGTTATACAAAAAAAAAGGCAAAAAATCAAAAACTGGCCGACATTTTTTGTGTCAAAAAGGGTTGTTTTTGGTTGTTTTGGTAACATAACTAGAAGTTAACGCTACAAAGAAAATGTGTGCCAATTTTCATAAGAATTTTTCTTTCCGAGTTATCTTGCACGTCAGTTTAAAAAAGTAGTTTTGAGAAAAAGGCGATAAATTGCATTTTTTTCTTAATAAATAAATTTACAGGCATATTTTTAAAATGTTAAACTAACTATTAAAAAAAAAAAATCGATTTTTTTTTTTTATTTTACATGTATCTCTCCCCTTGAGCACTTTCTATATTTTATCTGCTTCTGTGCCATATTTCTATGGAGAAGTTTCGAAAAATTGGAGCTCACTAGAATAATAGTATCATAATATCAACTTATACCTTAAACAAAACAACCGAGCTGTGATTAATTTCTATACATTCTATACAATATTGAAAAGATAAATTTAGAGTTAGCAGAGTTCTCATTTCGAGTATACTATCTCCGATTTTATGCATCTGTCCTAGAATGTAATTAAGCGCCACTCTATTTAATTAAAGTTTAGCTTCTATTATAATAAATCAATAAAGATTTATCTTGCCTCTAGTTTTTCATAGAAGGACTTGATTTTGATCGTTTAGTTTGTATGGCAGCCATATGCTATAGTGATCTGATATGCAAAATTACTTCGGAGATTACACTCCTTAGATTACTCCTTAGATTACTCATAATAACAATAATAATAACTCATGTCAAATTTCGTGCAGATACCTCATCAAATAAAAAAGTTTCCATACAAGCACTTGATTTCGATTGTTCATGGCAGAATCAATCAGACATGGCTAAAACAACTCAGCTCATCATGCTGATCATTTATGTATATTTTATAGGGTATCCGACGTTTCCTTCTTGGTGTTACAAACTTCGTGGCAAACTTAATACATCCTGTTCAGGGTACAAAAATTTATATCTCGCTTCCAACTACTTGAAAAATTTTTAGGTTTCACATTTTTGTATTTTTTTGTAGGAAATTGTATGCTTTGATTAAAAGATATAACGGTTGAAGTTGGAATATTTTAAGGAACATTTTTTTTTTATGAAGTTACAGAAGTTACAGTTTCGTAGGAAATTAACTGCTTCACAAAAATAGTCTCTTATTTTTGATTTAGGTTTTTTAATTTTTTTTACCATATATATTTTCGTTGTTTTTTGACGATTGATATTTCGTAAACGCTTAATTAAACCAAAAATAATTTTTTAATCCGCCTTCATTAAAATACATACATACATACATATATATATGTACGTATGTACATTGTGTATATACACTTTTATACTTGTTTTTTAATTGAAACAATTAAGTTACAACAAAGTCCATATGTAAATAAACTAACAAGCTAAAAACAACAACAAATAACAGCATAACAATAAGAAAAAGCAACAACATACTATGTTTTTGTTCTTGAGAAAAACTCAGAATTGTCTATTTTAGTGAGAAATAAGTAAATAAAAATAAAATTCCGCTATTTGGCCTTATTTAGCAACTTTAGCTATTTATTTTGACTTTTATTTTGCTGTTGTTGTTGACGCAGTTTGCCCATTCGTGTACGCTTGCATGCAAATCAACCCTGTTTGGATTGTTGTAATGGATATTTTGACGCCAATGCAAGAAAATATACAAAATAAAAACAAAAACAAATGCGGAAACAACAACCTCAACAACAACGTGAACTGCAGTAGGGCAGCAACGCAGAGGCACAGGTAGGCGCGGTGGAATGCAAAAAAAAATATGTTTATATGTACATATCATGCCCTTATAAAGCTTAATACAGGCTATGTGTCAATATACATGTAAATATATATTTATATTTATATGCATATATACACACTAGTACACATGTACATATGTATGTATGCGGCACCAGCAGCATGCACAACATACACTACAAAGTTAATAAATAGTGTTAACATAAGGGTGGTTTTCCACAAAACCACAACAACAACAACAATAACAAGTCGTTCACCACTTGCCACTACTGTACACACACATATGCACACACACATTTTTGCGCGACACGTAAGTAAGCTACACTGCCTAACTTCCACAAATGTAGATTGTGGAACGCAAGTATGGCTGCCGGCATTCCGCTGTTGTTGTTGTTGCTCCTCGAAAGGCGGAGTCAATGCAGTCAACACAAGTCAATGGAAGGTAAACATTTTTGTGTGCTGGTTGGCAGCGCGTGTGTATGTATGCGTGAGAGCGTGCGCACACTGTTTTCCTATGCTCTGTGGTGCGACAAATGTTTGCTTGGGATCGTTTGCTGGCGCGCGCGGGTCCAGGAGAGTGCGACTATAAATGCCGCGCCAACTGCGCTGGTAGAGTCAGTATTGAGTTTGACTTCGTCTTTAACGATTGTTCGCACGCTTGCATTTAGAGCGGTAAACCAGTTTTTCTTGCAATTAACCAAAACAACAACAACAACAAAAATTTTAAATACACACTAGTTACAATAGGAAGCAAGTTAATTTGTAATTAAATACAGAAAACAAAAAAGTGCAAAATGGTGCGTTATTACAACAACATGGAGCATACCACGAATTTCTCCATCGATGCCATACTCGCTAAGGGCTCGACGCAGCCACTGCCGCAAGTACAAACGCAAGCGCAAACAAATCAAGCGCTTTATCAGCGCGCACAACAGCGCACATACCAACAACCAAAAGAACAACAAATTCAACAAACACAACAATTACAACAAAATCCAATGCAAACTTATCAAACGGAACAGGCATACGTGAGTGATGATCTCGCCAGCATCGACAGCTTCGAGACACCATCACGCACCTCCACACCCATGAGCAGTGGCGCCGATTCGCTAACCTCGGGTGAGGATAAACTCGATGAAGTGGAGAGTGGTGAAGACTATGAAGAGGAGGATGAGGAGAAGGATGCGACGCTTGCGGACGCCAAAAGCGATGGCGATAAGCACAAGAAACCGACCTACAGTTATAACGCGCTCATCATGATGGCCATACAGAACAGCCCCGAGCAACGCTTGACGCTTAACGGCATCTATGAATATTTGATAAAACGCTTTCCCTTCTTCACGAAGAATAAGCGCGGCTGGCAAAACTCCATACGCCACAATTTGAGTCTCAACAAATGCTTCACGAAAATCCCACGCAGCTATGACGATCCTGGCAAGGGCAACTACTGGGTTTTGGACCCTAGCGCCGAAGAGGTTTTCATCGGTGAGACTACGGGTAAATTGCGTCGTAAAAATCCTGGTGCGAGCCGTTCACGTTTAGCTGCCTATCGTCAAGCGATGTTCACGCCACTAATGAGTCCTTATGGTGCGCCACCAACAATCTCCACTGCCTATCATAACGCTCAACCATTTGTCGGCGCTGCCGGTTATATGGGTGCCGCAGCTGCTGCTGCCGCCGCGCTTTATCAACGCATGCCGCCACCATTGGCAGCAGCCGCCGTCTATCATCAGGCCGCCATGTATGGTGGAGCCGCACAAATGGCAGCCGCCGCAGCAGCAGCAAGCGGCATAGCGCCACCACCACCAACAGTGACAGCCGCATCATCGCCAACAGGCGCACATCATTTGCCGCTTGGCTATAATCCGGCGGCTTACAGCGCTATGCCGACGTTACAAGCGCCGCACATGACCAACGAGTTGTTCCAACGCATGCAGTTGTTTGGCAAATTCCCCACCAGTTAAGCAATGCAACACCACACACACACACATACACAAATACACATTACAAGCGGCAGAGCAGGTGGCAGGCAAGTTTATTTTGGCCACCATGTTTCTAGCGGCGACGGCGTCCACCACAAATGGGCGCTGTTCGCACTCCGACGGGCATTCGATTGGATAGCACAGTGACGGCAGGGCAGTTCAAGCAACGTGAGATGTTAACAAAGCGCCACAGCGGCTGGTCAATATGGGTCTAACGAGGTGTTTACGTGCAACTGGGCGGCAAAGAGAGGCCTCCAGTCAATCAGCGGCTGCATCGTTGAAAATGAGCTGGGGAGCAGGCTTTCCCAAAGAGACAAAGATAGTATATGTCTGAGCGAAAGTTACCAGCATTAACAAAAATGCATTGTAATAAAAAAAATCAAAAAAAGTTATCAAAATAGTTGTAATCAATAGTAGTACTGTATTCAAGAAATTTTGAAACAAAAATATTATAACATTTTAACAATAGACAAATTTTCGCATTTATGTACAAACAAAAGAAAAAAAAATTAAATTAAATTATAAAACAAATTAAAAATATTTTTTTATTATTTATAATTATAAGAAACTTTACTTACACTAAAGATTTTTGGAAATTATTAGAAAATATATATTATATATATATATATATATATATATATATACACATTGTTATTTTCCAACAGGCAGGATTATGAGAAGTCATCCTGCTTTCTGATTATTTCGTTTTAAACTTGATGTGTTTCACTCTTCTTCTTCTCGCAGCAATTTTCGAAATCTGCGTACATCAGTTAAGCTTCTTCGATAACCTAATGTAAAGAACGCTTTTTGAAAATTTGGTTTGATAGTGATATTTTTGCTAGAAACTTCTCCTGCTTAAACAAATACTTCAAGGCAACTCGCTCTCAGAAAGATGAAATATCGACTTATGTTATTAAACTAACATGAGACATTAATTAAATGCCTTGATTTTCAAGATCAATATTCTATATTCGAGGCAGGTAAAATCCAGCGCTCTCACGAATTGTCCTAATCAGCCTAAATTCAAAATTCCACCTTTCCTTTATCCGCAAATTCCAGAATTATTTTTATACGTAACTTTTTGTTATAAAAAATGTTCCTGTAAAGTGGATACAGCTCTTCCAGCTTTCAACATAACCGACACTTAAAATAATCAAGCTGGATCATTCTAAATTACTAATTAATTTCACAGAAGCGTATATTATCACACATAATAGTATACTCAACTCCAAAAAAAAATATCCGTAAAGAGTTATAGCAACAGAAAAGTGCATGTAACCCAAAAAGATTTGTAAAGTACGTTCTTATAGATGGTTTTTATGCCACGAGAAGGCTAAAATAAAGTCTATAGTAATAATACCCAGTAGCTATTATGCACAAAAGTGCTAAATGCGATGATTTTGTGCTCATTATGTCGCTATCGTCGTATTACTTGAAGAGTCAATCAGTAAATTCACTGATTTCTGCCCTAACGAGCGGATTTTTTTTAGAAGAAGCTCTAAAAATGTCTCATATATCTAATTTATGTATCAAATTTGTGCTTCGAGTATATTCTGGCTGGAATCAAAAAATAGAATGTTAAAGAATATTTTAAATGAATAAGGACATCTACGATCTCTAATCAGGATAAGTCTGGGAGTTAAGAAATAAAAAGCTTAGGTAGGCAGAAACTTCTGGGTGTAGTGTTAGATCTCTATGATATACATATATTTAGCGTCACTAGTTCTGCGGACTATGTAGCCTAAATATCAATCAACCGATAACACCTATAAATATATATTAGGTTAGAGCGAAATTTTTTTTTTTTGCTTAGTCTGAAGGTAAAAAAAGGTCATAAAAAAAATTTGAAAAAAAAAAAATTTTAACATCTGGAGGCCACTCAGGTTTTAAAAAAAATTTCGAGAAATTATTTTTGGTTTAAACTCTTCACATTTATATACAAATTACCGAATTTGACAGTTTTTGACTCAAAATTAAATTTTTTTTTTCGCTCCATGTACATATAGCTTGCTTAGAAACCCCAACAGCTTGATACGATTTACAAAAGTTCCACGATTCACTCTGGTTTCATTCCGAAATCGAACTATTCAACGAAGGAACGAAGTAGTGTTGCAATTTCTTCACTTGCGTGAAAGTATGTAAGCAATTTGCCAACAAGAACAGGCTTTAGAGGTTAGGTTGAAAAATATATGATTAACCTAAAATAGCCATGAGCTGTGGTGTTCTTAGCGATAACGGCAAAATTTATAGTATTTCAAACACATAACCTGGATATTGATCTCAAGAGTTTAAGTAGCGAATTTTTTCGCGACTTCTATCTGAGCAACAACAAAGCAATATTAAAAAAAAGTAAATTTATTCAAAACAAATATTCTAAAAGCATCACCAAACAATAGTTAATTATAATAGTATAGTAGTTAATTGAGCTTTTAGCCTATTTTTGTCTATTAATTTTTATTTAGAATAACCACCGTAGAAACTGCTAATCAGTTAAAAAATCTTTCTAATGCCAGCATTCTCACACGCTATTTACTCTTTTTTTGTTATTTTCATAAAAAAATTGTGTGCTAGTATTATTATATTTTTATTCTTTGCATTCTACTTCCATAGCTATTCAAATCTAATATTAATTTTTCAACACCATTGACTTTTTCGCCTTAACACTTCATAATTCCACGATTTGTCACATCGTTTGTGCGCAAGAGCAAACATACAGATATGTCTTTTTTATTATAAATGTTTTATTACTGGTGTTGTTGTAATTTTTTTCAATTTGTTGTTGTTGTAATTTTTATTTTTATACTTTTTTTTTGAATATTTTTATATATATTTTGTTGTCTTTTTACATTACTTTTTGTTGTTGTATTTTTTGTATACTACATTTTGTTGTTGTAGTCTGTATATATTTTTTCTTCTTTTATTTGAGTTCAAATTCTACTTCTTCTTCTTTACTTTAATTGTACTGATCTTTGACAAATCTCCACATTATCCCACATTCACGGCTTTTGATCCTCCACCGCCAGTCGAGACAACTCGCGGCGGCCTATTATTCTCTGCTTCCAACGCTTGCGGCTCAGCTCAGCTCGTACGCTGCCCAATTGAACCCGATTTGCTTGTAAATGACTTAATTACGTGTTGAATCAAAATTTATGTACACACCAACAACAACACATACTACATCGGTGCGTGTGTATAATTGTGTGCCGCCGTGTGGTGCTAGTTTACGTGGGATCAGCCGAAGGCAACAAGTTGATGGGTCAATCTGTACAAATAATAGAAACAACAAAAAAACGGTCATAACGATCGGCAATATGTTTAGTGACAAGTCCAGCTGTGAGGGTTATAACAAAATAGCAGACATATGTATGTACATGCAAACAGCAACAACAATAAAGTGAGGGAAGAAATCTTAGAGAATTGTTGAAGTGAAAAAAAAAAATTAAAAAGCAAATAAGATGTTTAGAAGACAAATTGTGTAAAAAAATCTGAAAAAAAAATTACAAAAATAAAAACAACAATTTAAACATGCAGTCAGCTAACAGTCTAGCATTTGTTGCTGGTGTCGGCATATTCGTTGGATATGCATACAAATATTTTTTATTATTATAATTTTTTTCTACATTTCACTCACTTCTGTTTAGCGCTAGCGGGTGAGCTAACGCACGCCACAGGAGCCACAGGTACCAACCCGGCAATGTGGTGACTCCTCGAGTACACAACTGCGGCCTGCGCATCTTCCTTGGCTTTTGTTAGCATTTTACTGCCTGCAAATGTGCGTGCAACATTTGTTGCATAACAACAAATTTGGTTCCATGCGCATTTGGCACTACCTTATTTCTTATTTTTTGCTCCTAAAATTTAATAACTCTCATGAAAGGTGAAAGATGAGACGCTTTGCGCCTGTGAAGATGGCTTACAACAACAGCGCGCGTTCGGTCGCGTTTAAACGCGAGTGCGGGGGCGTTATTTGGACCGCCGTAAAAAACGAAGAACAATGGTAAAATTTTCAGCGAAATCGGTTAGGCTTTTCTAGTCAACGACTGTCGAGCGTGTTGGCATGTCTGCAATGGCAAGTTGCCTATTTTCTTATGTTGTTGTTGTAAGCGACTATTTAAATATATATGTACATACATATGTACATGTGTGACCCCGCGTCCAATCGCTCCGAAATCTGTTCAATTGCAGCCTCAGCAGCAGCGCAAGGTGTAACAGGAGCCTCACGCACTCTCTCTCTCTCTCTCTCCCTCTTTCTCTCACTATCTCGTTGCGCCGCGGCGACAATGAGGCGGCAAAACGCTTTGATCAGCGAGCGTTCTTATAGCAGTCAGCTAGCGCGCTGTGAGTAGCTGCCTTTACTTGCATTTATGTTGTTTTTGTTTTTGTTTTCGTTTTTTTTTTTGTTTTTATAAGGAGTTGTGGAACTTCAAAAGCATGTGGAAAATGGGCAGGAACTGTGAAGTTGTGGAATAAAAAATAAAATAAAACAACAACAACACAATATATGTATATCCATAATAAGTAGTTACACACACATATATACAAACATTTAATAAAAATCATAATAGCGGCAACAGCAATATAAACAAGCCGGTGCATTTGACGTGCATTACAACAACTAGCGCGCTTATCGCTGGCTCTGCAGCGGTAGCCGTTGCTTTGGTGAGTGGTTGTCGGTTGGCATTCCACGGTTCCCCCAAACCAATTGTCCCATTAATGAGCTGCATTAAATCGGGGAAATCGCTAATAAATGTTGTTGTTAATGTTCGAACTTCATAAATTATCGAAAGTTTGTAAAGAAATTCTAAAGAGTTGACGAAAAGAATGCAAGCAAAGTACAATAAAGCTGGTCCAACTTAGTGGGCTCAACAGTTCATAAAACCCTATTTAATTTAGTCAAATAAATAAGAGATTTAATGCGATGTGTTTGTGCCCAGTGGCAGCGCTTTTATTGTGTTATCTAAATAGGGTGTCTATTTTTGTCGGTCGATGCGGGTAGCGCGAGGCTGCGACGCGAACTCAAATGCAATACAATTTTTATTTAAAGAAATATAGCTTGTAGCCTTATTATTATTTCACTTAATACAATTTTTTTTTAATTTTCTTTTTAACTTCAAAAAAAATTATTTTGTGTAATAACATTTGAATTAAAATTTTTTATATTTTTTAATCCCGTATTTGAGAATACAAAATAAAAACAAAGATTTAATCCCGCTTACCGGATTAAAAATTAAAAAAAAGTTTAATCTTACATACCGGATTAAAAATTAAAAAAAAAAGTTTTTAATTTTTTAATTTAAAAAAAAAAATTTTTAATTTTTAATCTCCACATCGAGATTAAAAAATTAATATCTAATTTTTAAATTAAAAAAATCACAACTCTGACCAGAATAAATATATAATAGAAAAACATCGATCTTTATTAGATTTTTTATGCGAAAAAATTTCAATTTAAACATTTTTATGCCAAAAATTATATATTTTCTTAGAATTTTATAATTGCACATTTGTATTTGGTTTGAGGTTTAGATAAAT